AAAAAAAGAGGTCATTCCTTGTCTCCAGAGCATAGTCAAACCTCTTATGTTTTCCTAGTCTTTTATGAGTCTCCATGTACTAAACATATTACCAAACTTCTCTCACCACCACTCTTCTGGACCAGCATTTAACTCTCCTGTTTTGTTTCTTCTTTCCAGTTTCATCCTTAGTCAATAGAGTTTTAAGATATTTCTCTCCTTGCTAGCTTTGGTATTTGTTAGGGACAATGAGAGAGGAATAGTGTGATTCATGAGTGTAAAGCAAAACTTGCTGTAGGGAATTGGAGGGCCAAGTCACTCAGGGGTGTGGTGAGTAAGCAAAAATTACTTCCTCACTACCCATGTTTCACAAGATCATTTCATGTATCTGATTGAAATTTACCTTAATTCGACAAATACCAGCATGTGTATTTACATATGTATTGTGATATTTTAATGTATACTTACATTGGAAGATGGTTAAATCTAGCTAATTAAAATATGCATTACCTTATATAGTTATCATTTTGTGGGGACACTATTTAGCATCTCTCTTGGTATTTTTATTTATTTATTTTTCTCTATTTTAGGGAAGGGTATACAGGGTGTTCAAGGTAATCCACTGAGCTATTTGGCTGGCCATTCTCTTGGTATTTTTAAATGATAGAATATATCTGAAGATTTCCACAAATGTTAGATATGGAACTATGGGGCTTAATATTTGCCCAGATGGATATTGGTCTGTACTTTGGTTTCATTGCTCTATTCACCTATTTCTAACTTTTGGCGTGGAACTGTTTATCTTGTGCCACTGAATGTTAGACATGTTTAATTTTTTTTTCATTTGTACAGGAGCTTGTAGTTAAGAATTTGCTTTAAATCTTAGAAGAGACTTGAGAATTGGACTTTTGAGCAATGCTGAAGCTGTTAGGACTATAGCAATTCTTTTTTTTTTTTGCAGAATCAGGGATTGAACTCAGGCCCTTGCACTTGCCAGGGAAGTGCTTATTCCACTGAGCCATCTCCCTGGCCCCAGGACTATAGCAATTCTTTAAAGATTGACTAAATTCTTTTTGCATAAAGGCATGTACATGAGTCTTTTGGGGGCCAGGGTGGAATGTTACAGCTTGTATCTAGATGTCTAACCAAAGCCTCATGTGTTCATAGGTCAGGTTTTTGGCAAATGGGTAGATCACGGATATGATACTGGATTAATTCATCAGTAGGTCTAGTGCAGTTCTATGTAACTGAATAAAGTTTTCTTTCTTTTAATGAGAGTACAAATTAGAACTAAAACAGAAAAAAATTCAAGTGATACAGAATTTCACTTTATAGGGTAATATGAATTTCACAGTATTTGTTGTACTTCATAGTGTTGCCTTCCAAAAATTATTCATATTACCAGATAGATGCATTAAAATTGGAAGAAGAAAAAAAGAAAAGAGTATGAGAAATTAAGAACAGAAAAAGTACAAACAATTGAAAAAAGGAGATGAAACAAATAAAAACATTAATTTCACTTTTCTATAGACCAGTAGAAATGCATATCCTGCTTACATACATAGATAAATCTCTTTCCCCTATTCCCTCTTCTGTCCTCCTCAACTCAGTAACTCTTTCCTTTTGAATAAGTTCAAATCTCAGAAGAGACTTGGAACTACACTATGGGAAAAGTTCCCTTTTCCAAGTATCTATTGTACCCTGCAGATTCCATTTTGCTCTTTCAGGTTCTCACATTGAAAATTAAATTTTAAAAAAGAAGGCTATCTTTCTTTCAGTGAGCCTGTTTGGCCCCTTTATCAAAGGTGGCTGTGTATGTTTACAGTTGTTTCTGCATCTTCTAATGTGTTCCTTTGATCATAGGAACATAGGTCTGTCTCTATGCCAGTACCATGCTGATTTCACCATAGTAGGCTTATAGTGTAATTTCAGGTCAAGGACTGTGATACCTCCTGCCTTTCCTTTGTTTCCCAGGACTGATTTAGATATTCTGGGTCTCTTCTGGTTCCAAATGAATTTGAGAAGTTTTGTCTTTCTCTGTGATATATAGTAATGGCAGTTTGGTTGGGATTGCATTGAATCTGTAAAACAACAATAAATTCTAGCAAACAGAATTCAGCAAATAATCAAGAAGATTAAATATCATGAACAAGTGGGATATTCATTCTAAGAATGAATAGATGGTTCAACATATGCTAATCCAAAAATGTAATGCACCACATCAATATAATGAAGAGGAAAAACACATGATCATCTCACTAGATGCAGAAAAGTTTTTCTGACAAAGTCCAACCCTCATTCGTAATAAAAACTCTACCAAAAATTAGAAGAAATTGTCTATATCACAAATTGATAAAAGCCATAAGAAACCAACAGCCAATGTCATATTAAATGGGCAAAAACTGAAGGTCTTCACTTTAAAATCAGAAAAAAGATAAGGATGCCCACTGTCTCCACTCCTATTTAATATAGTTCTGGAATTATTAGCCAGAGCAATTAGGCAAGAGAGAAAAATGAAAGAAATAAAGATTGGGAGAGAAGTGAAATTATTATTATTTTCAGATGACATGACACTCTACATAGAAGACCTCAAAAACTCCACAAAAAGTCTTGTAGATTTAATCACCAAATTCTGTAATATAGCAGTATACAAAGTCAACACCCAAAAATCAGTACTATAATTTTACACAAAGATTGAACACACTGAGAGAAAAATAGGGAAATCATGCTTTTCACAATAATATCAAAAAAATAAAATACTTAGGAATCAATCTCGCAAAGAATGTAAAAGATTTATACAGAGAAAATTACAGGGCCAGGGAGATGGTTGGAACAGGGAGATGGCTCAGTGAAATAAGCACTTCCCTGGCAAGCTCAAGGGCCTGAGTTCAATCCCTGGTTCTGAAAAAAAAA